TAAGCTACGGTGGTGTCTTAACTGTAACTGGGAGGAGTATTAATCTACATATAGACATTGATTCCTTTGTTTTAAAGGATCAACCCCTTAATTCTCATTTATCTGCTTTAAACATTTAATGAAATGATCCATTTTCTCCCTTACTTCCTGCTTTACCTTAAAATGCCTGGTAGAACATGGTGAACCATGGCAAGGACCAGGCACTCCACAGTTTTCTCCCTGCACTCATTGTAGTTGGTGGAAATGAAATGTAGTTGGAAGAAATGAAATGTTGGTATCACCACCAGAATGCCTCAAGTTAAGTTATGTAACATAAGTGCTGAAGTCAGGTTTGAACTTCAGGATAAAACCCATAAAGTAAGGATGGGGATAGGATGAGGTCTATTACCACAAGGTCATACAGGGCCCTCAAGAACAACACCAACTGGAAATCATCCTGCTCTAATTCTGAGAGCATGGTGCAGAAGAGGTTGTTTGTCAATTTATGATACTTCCTTTAACACATCTCAAAATATATTTGGATAATCTTTTTGATAGGAAATTTATATTCCTTCAAATCAGCATATTTTCACAATCTAGTAATATTCTGTCCTGTAACATAAAAACAATTATTTTTGGAGGAAAAAAAAAGAAAATGAGCTGGAGTTCCTTATGGGCTTCTCTTTCACGCTTTCTTAGGTGTATCAATAAATATTTTACCCATTTATTAAAAAATTAAACTATAGATTAATTAGGTATAAAAACAGATTACAGAATAGCTCTGTCCAAATCAAATTTTAAGCATCTGCAGAGAATACAAAGAACTGTTGGTAAGAAAAAAATTCAAAGTATGTATTTTGAAGTACTTAGGGTTGTAAAAACACATGCTGGGCATTTGGTTAAGAACTTTTAAGTACCTACGATAAATTAGTATGACAACTTATAATTTCTAATTCTAATATCCTGCAACTGCGTTCAGGAATCTTCTGCCACAAATTTTGTATTGCTTTTTAGGGATGATAATAGAATTGTTGAGAAAATAAGTTATATTCAGTTCTAACAGTATTTCTCCTTTTTTGTTCACTACATACTATTTAATATTTTCCTTTGTACACTTCTTGATAGTTGAGCTTTAAGTGAAACTCTGAAAAACAACATTAGGATTCAAAATACAGTGGAAGATTTTATTTTCAGGGTCACAAGTAGCATAGTGAGATTTCTCTCTTAAACAATGACACTTAGTATCTCTGTAGTTCTATGAATACTTTTGAAGTGTCATATTAAAACCAATCTCTTGGCCTTCAGGCAAAGAGAAGCAATTAGTCTTGGAGTTGTGAATAAATAAAAATCCATTTATATACCCGTCCTTGACACGTACCTTGCAAATCTTAGAAACTTCATCTAGTGGGAAAAGAAATGTTAAATCATGAACACCAATACTAATCATATTGAAATGCTGCTTCCTAAAACTGTTTAGTTTGTATCAATCTTTTAAGTATTGATTTATATGTATATATTCTTACATATTGAAACAAAACAACAGAAAGGCACTCACAGACTTGAACGAGAAGAAAGAAATGAGAGCGTGCATATAGAGCTGTAACGCGTACCTTTATTACCTTCAACATTAATAGAGGCAAGAAAAACCACAAAGCTCCCAAGTACATTGTCCTTTTCTCAGATACAGTAAAAACAATCCCGCACAAGTTACGTACCACGCGCAGGCTTTTCATCCCAAGTGCTACTGTGTCTGCTTTGATCTACAAGCAAACAAACAAACCCAACCTTTATTATCCGTGCATCCCATTTCCATGCAGCACAATTAAACAGTGCCTGTCACAGATGTGTTGGGATGAGTCAGATCACAATTTCTACTTTTCGTACAAGCGCAGTATTTTTAGGTCTTCTCTTTCCTCTTTAGCGTGCCTCAGTGCAGAAGTATCCTGTTTTTATGCAGCTCTGATTGCTGTTCGAGATTCTTGTATTTATTTTTCACTCAGCAGTCAGTAATTCACAAAGGAAGTAAAAATTATGATGCCAAGTCATTCCAAATAGTCCGCTCGCACCCCTACAAAAAAGCTGAGTGAACCTCGGGCCGTGCGGCAGGTCACCGCCTCAGTGGAGCTTGTCCCCCTCGCTTGCACTTGTTGACCAGAGCGCTGAGGAAATGAGAGCACTCAGGCTCCAGCCTGGTGCACCGTCAGGTGAGGCAGCTGGCTGGGGACACGCTTGTGTTCCGAGGGTATTTTAGAATAAAATCCACTCCTGTGTGCCGCGCTCACACAGGCACGGTCCCAGCCTGGAGGTCAGAGATGGGACAGTGACCCCCACAAAGGGTCACACCTGGGCTGATGGGATGGTCAAGGAAAACAAATTTTAGTCTGTTCTGGATGCAAATCTCTCCGCTGACCTAGTTCTCATTCTCCTTTTCATTTCAGAAGCTCAGCTAAAAATCCATAAATTAAGGAAATTAACTGATGGAGCCTCCGGCATCTTTGTAAGCTATTTAAATCTTTAAATTTACAACATCTTCTGCATATATCAAGTAATTGAACTAACTGCAGGGATGTAACTTTAATGAGAAAATTTCCCTCTTCTCCTGTAGTTTGTACTCTAGAAGGGGAAAAAAAAAAAAAAAAAAAAAAGCTCCCCTTAGGAGAAAAGTTTGTGTTTATTCCTGCCACGGAAGAAAACTTCAACCCCCCAGTTTTGGGCTTTGGGGCGGGCGCGGGGGGCGCGGGGGGCGCGGGGGGCGCGGGGCCGTGCCCGGGCTGACCTCTCCGGTTGCGTAACGGCCGCGCGGAGCGCGCACTAGTGGGCGCTGCAGCCCCGCCGAGCCGCGGCCGCTCCGCTCCGCGCCCGCGGAGCCGCCGGGGCCTCCCCCCCTCTCCTCCCGCCCCGGGCACCGGCAGCGCCGCGGGGCGCGGAGCGGCCGCGCTCCCTCCGCCCAACTTCCGCGGGGACCGGCGCGGAGCGGGGGCGCATCCCCCGCGGCGGCGCGCAGAAACACGCAGGCACCGGCAGACCCGCGCCTCCGGCTGGAAGCTGAGGGAGGGATTTGAGTGTTTTTTATTTTTTTTTTCCCTCTCATTCACGGGGTGGGGGTTCCCTGCTCGTCCCCCTCCCGATGCGTGGGCCGGGCGCGCTGCGCGCCCGCGGAGCCGCCCGCGGAGCCCCGCGCCATCGCGCCGCGCGCTCTAATTGAAATGGCGCTTTTGGCCGGGGGCGGGCTGCCAGGGCGCTCCGCAATAGCACAATGCATGTCGATAGACGTCATTTGGTTTTAATGGCCTACAGGAAATTTGGCGTTTACAATGCGAGACATTAGCAAAGGGTGAAAGGGAGGGGGAGGCAGGCAGGATGGATGGCTGGGAATAATTGCAGCCCCCCCCCGCCCCCGAGGCCCCCCGTCCGCACCTCGGCGGCGCTGGGTGCTGCAGGGAAGGGGGGAGGGGGGTCGGGGCTATTTTTTAATTATTTATTTTTTAACTTCATCTAGTTTATCAACAAGTGCAGAGTGGGTGCTACCCTAATTGTAACAGAGGAGTCAAGAGATGTGAGAAACGTGCCCTGTGTTACTTATTTGGGAGCTGAAAATTTATGCCTAGTTGAAAATGCCTGGGGAAATATTACATCAGACCAAATGACAATGATTAAAATCAGCTTTTTTCCCCCCTTCCCCCCCCCCCCTTTTCCTCCTTCTTCTTTTCAGTAAGTCTGTTGAAGGACGTGACAGTGGCCTGATCCTCCCCAACACCGAACCGTTATCCCCCGGCAGGGCCGGGCCGGGCCGGGCCGAGCCGTGCGGGACTCCGCGGGGCAGCGCAGCGCTCCCGCCCCGGCCGCGCCGCGCGGAGCGGCTCTGCGGGCGGCGGCGCCGGGGGCGCGGGCTGGGGAGCCGGCCGCCTTCCCAGCCTTATTTCATTTTCAAGGGCTGTATTTTATTTTATACTGGAGGGGGGGGTGGGCTGGGGGATGGGGGAGTAAATCTGCAGACCTTCACCAAAAGGAGGGAAAAATATCCAATTTTCATCGCAAAATTAGCTAGGGCGAGAGCAAAGGGCTGAGCTAATTGTAGCCTAATCCTCTGCCCTGCAGGCGTTTGCAAAGCCCTGAGCAAGAATTCGCTTTTTTTCCTCCTCTTCTCCCTTCCCTCTGTTATTTAGAGACGGGATTATTGCCTTTCTTCTCATAACAGCCTCGGCAGTTTCATTTAAAGGCTTTTTCCCCCCCCTTCACACACACACATACACGCACACGCACAAAATAAATAGAAAAAAAGCAGCAAAAACAGGGGAAGAGAGAGGAGACAGAGAAGCTTTAAAAATAATAATAATCACAGCAGGATCTGCGGAGCAAAGATAGTAATAAAAGCAAAAAAGCTGAGCCCATCCACACACAGCCCCGGCAGAGCCCAAAGCCAAAGGGGGGCTCGCAGATCTCTTCTGTGCTCAAGGTAAGAACCTCGGCAGCGGCTCCCGCAGCTGCCCGTGCGCCCGCCCGTGCGGGGCCGGAGCGCGCCGTGCCGTGCCGTGCCGTGCCGTGCCTCGGCCTCGCATCGCGCCGCACCGCGCGGTTCGCGCCTGCTCGCGCTCCTCTTTTTTTTTTTTTTTTTTTTTTTTCCCCCCCCTCTTTTTTTTTTTTTTTTTTTGGAAAGTGCCTCTTCAAACTCACTCGGCTGCCGGCTCCTGGGAGCAGCGGCGGAGCGGCGGAGGGGTGTTTTTTTAAAGCTACAGGACCCGTTTGCAGCCGCCCCGCTTTGGTAGCGCCGCGCGTGTGTGTGTGTGTCTGTGTGTGTGTGTGCGTGCGTGTGTATGTTTTGTTTTGCTCCGCTCCAGCATGGGCAGCGCCGGCGGAGCCCCGCGGCCCGGGGTGCCCGCGCTCCCGCTGCCCCCCCGGCCCCGGCTCTGAAGACGGCCCAGCCCCGGCGCGGCGGAGGCAGCGCGGCTCGCTCCGCGCTCTCGCATGGTACGCGGAGCCGCGGCTCGGGCTGGGGCGGGCGGGAGCGCGGGCCGGGGCGCGGGGGCTGGCGGCGGGGCGGCTCGGCACAAAGGGAAGGCGGGCGACAATGGGGAGCGCCGCGTATGGAAAACACGGGCGGGCTGTGAATGAAACTCTGGCGCCAGTGAGAGTGGAAGGCTTGGTTTGGGGTAGACTTCAAACCACTCTAGGCTATAGTTTGCATTCCTGCTCCTGCATGCGATGTGGCACACTTCTGCAAAATTAATACATTAGCCTGGCTAATGCTCACCACCATTGGCTGCGCGGAAAATGTGCAGGATCGGGGATTCGGGCTTGACTTTTTTTTTCTTGCATTCATCTAAGACATCTTTCTTGTTATGTGGGAATAAGTAAAGGACGCCATGTTGTGCCTTTTTTTTTTTTTTTTTTTTTTTTTTTTTTGGTTGAATTTTACCTTCGGGCATACAGTGTGTTCAAAAGAAAAAGGCAGAAGTTGAGTGACCGGGTGCGTTGCTCGCTGGTGATTTCCCTGACCATCAGTAGGGAAAAGCATTTGGGTGACGTGAAACTTGCACTAAATAGACTGGAGTCTGCCAGAGAGGCGGATTGCTGGGGGGGAAGAGGGGGAGGAAGGAGAAAGCCTTTCCTTTTTTTTTTTTTTTTTTCTTTTTTTTGAGGGGGGGTGGGGGGGGAGGCAACCAGAGCTCCAGAGGGAGTTCCCCTTTTGCTCCCCTCCTCCCCCCCACCCCCCCGCAAAAGTTTTGGGCATCATCTCCTCTGTGTGTCGGTGCAGCGTTCAGTAAATCAGCGTGGAGGTGTGTGCAAATGTTTATGCACTTTTAATTTTGGAGCCCCCGAGCCCCAGGTTTGTAGCCCCCCGGCCCGCTTTGTCTCTGGGCTGGGAGCAGGGCGTAGCGAGTTGCTCGGAGTGGCTCTGGGGGCAGACCCGAGCGGTCGCCGTCCCCGTGTAGGCAGACAAAGGTAATTGCCCGGTCTGGCCGTGCCCCGCGGCCGCAGACGCTGCCCTGGAGCCACGGCGGTGCCGGGGGAGCTTGTGGCCCGCAGTGCCGAGCATGGGGCGGTCGGGGGGATGCAGTGGGTGAATTTACCCTGCTGGTAGAGCAATGCAGGTCCCTGGGGAGGAAGAGCAGCTTCCCGGCGGTGCCGGGGGCCCGGGTGGCTCCTGCGGCCCGGCCCGCCCCCAGCCCGGCTCCCCGGAGAGCAGCTCCATGGCAGGTCCGCAAACCTGCCGTTTTCATCTCACGTCTTAAATGTGCATGAAGGAATTAAACTGCACGAGTGAATAACAGCATTAGTTTCAATTAATTTTTATCCTGGCAACAATAAACTTTAGAAACAAAGCGCTTTTACATCCTTAATTAGTCTTGCTTCCCATCTGTAGGCTTTTAAGTGCCTGCTCCTTGATTTAACTTTGTCCCTCCTTCAGAGCCGCCTCCTTTTTTATTATTTTCTTTTTTTTTCCCCCGTTCCCCTTCCAGACTGCTGCCTGTTTCTTTCCTGCAACCTTTCACCTCCCTTGTCCCTATCTGTCTGCTCTGCTCTGTGCAGTTTATTTCTCCTGTATTTTCCCAACATCAACAGCAGTATTGGTTACCATGGCCCCAAGCTATGTGCAGAGGTGGGAAAGCTTCATCCGCCCAAAACTTCTTACACTTTTGAAGTCTTTCTTTTAGTAGGATCTGAAATGTATCATCTAGAGTGTGTATTAAATGAACAGTATTCCTGAAGGCTTTAGAGCAAGAAAGGCAACACCCTGGAAAATTCTGCAGTCTTTCAGCATTCTCTGCCCTAGGGTTATAGCCCTGGGCACGGAGCTGAATGGAGCTCTTACAACTGCCTTCTGTTTACCTTTTATGGTTAAAATAACAGCTTAGCAAAGAAGCAACTTCATGGAGAAACGATTCAGTGAAATCATCTCAAGCTGTAGCAGCATAGCTAGTTTAATCACCCCTAGAGAGCTGAACAACTGTGAGCACAATGGGACACAAAATCATTTTGTGTGTAAATGAGCATGGCATTGTGATTATTTCACTTTGCATGGGCAAATAGTTTTTACAAGCAGTTAGCTTAGGAAGGCAGAAAAAGATAAGCTGGCTCTGAAAGATCTTGGTGTGTAATGTTTGAAAAACTAAATATTCACATAATTTGGGAATCAGGCTCTATTGATTTTGCCTTCAGCAGGTTCCTGTGTTACTTATTAGAGCAGGGTTATTGCCTGTGCCACTAGTTGGGATGCTGTATCCTGTTGTAGGCAACTAAAGAGCAAGGATTATTTTACATGGTTTAATAAATGAAGTTTGTTAGTGTTTCTGTGATATTTACCCTTAAGGTTTTAATTTTCTCATCCATATTAGAAAATATGTGCATAAAGGCTTCCACTGGATAAATACATTTAGGATTTTGCTTTGTGCATAAAATAAGTACATTACTCAGTGTGATGAATTTTTGCTGTGTGTTACATTAAGAAGAGGAAGGAGTCATTAGAAATAGGGTTATGGTACCTTAAGAAACAGGGGGTATTTTTTTTGGAGCAGTAGTGCTTAGCAGTCGTGCCTCTTGATAATTTGCTCATACAAAAATGATTGAATTCCACAATTTTAATAAAAATCTAGGATTCATTTTTTAATATAAATCCTCTCTAGCCAGTGTTTGAATTCCCCTTCTCCTCCTCTCCCCTCAAAAGCCAGTGGCACCCTCAATAAGTAAGAAAAGCCATAAAAGTTTGAGAACTATTTTAGCTTTCCAGTGATTTTCTATAATTAAGTGTTTTTTCAACACATGCTCTAGCTGAGAAATGCCAAAAGCAGAGGATTGTTCAGAAGGTCCCTCCAGTGAATAGTATAAATTAAATATCTACTGTGTGAGTATGGCCTCACTGAGAATCTCAGTCTTTACAGATCAAGGAATTTACTGGTATACTAACATTAAACAAAATCCTGAGATAGCAGCAGTGTTTAAATATGCACAAATAGATTCATATCACTTGATCTTTAGCTATCTGTGCATATTTTAAAATTGATGTCTGTATTTCAAGACAAATGGTTAAATGTAAGACACATTTACAGAGGACTGTAAGTCCTTTGATTTCATTTGGAAATTGTAACAAGGGGTGCAGATGAGCCCTAATTAGACTCTTGTTTTGTGAAACTGCATGAGATTTATTTCTAAGGCGGCCCTGTACTGTGCAAGGTCTGTACCTTTATCATTAGTGAAAATGGTTGGGGTCTGAACAAAGGCAGGGTTGACATTCAGCCTGGATCTTCTGACCCTTTCATTTTAGTGGAGGAGTAGAGACTGAACATGAGTTTACAGTGCTCTTTGGTAAGGAAAAAAACCAGCAACCTTTGTCTGTGTTGGCAGACTGATCAGTAAACATGTTGCTAAAATACTGCAGGTACTTACATATTAAGTTGTTTTTGAAAGTTAGGTGTTTTATTTATGCTATATGACATATTTACTGAAGGTTGGCCACAGCAAGCTCTTGTGGGAAACAAGAAAGCAACATCTTCAGTGATGAAAGGATTCAGTCACTTTCCTTGAAGGTGGTGCTGTAGTGAAAATGTTAATGCCCAATTTCGCATCGGCTGACACAGTCCTAGGACAGAGCTGGCATTTGCTTCGTGCTCAGTGCAGATGTCCATCCAGCCTCTGAAGAGACGAGGATGTGGATTCATAATGGGGTGATGTATTCCTGTGCTGTAGATGCGAGAAATCCTTAGGAGCTAACCAAGATGAAATACAGTAAATGGAGATGTTGTGATGATTTGTGAAGCTGCTCAGATTTGTTAAGGTTTTTCAGTCCCTTTCTCTATAGCTTGGAAATTATTTTACAAGGAATGTTGCTGATTTATGTTCATCAAGTGTTGTAGTCGGGCATCTTGTGCGAAATACTGCAAAGAGAAAGGCAAGACCAGCTTTAGATTTCTAGGAAACATTGTCAAAGTAATGTGGGAGAAATAGAAATTCACTTTGCAATGCTGCATGTGAAGTCCTTGTCAGATGTAAGGAAGAGCCTGGGTGCTTGGTAGCATGCTTGAATTACAAAATACCAGAAAAATTAGATTATATTCAGAAATGTCTTCAACTATAATGTTTTGCATGTGTTGCTTTCCCCGTAAGGGGGAGAATGGATGTACATTTTCTTAACTTTTCTAGAAGGGTTATTTTCCTGTTTGACCTGTGTGCCGTCTGCACCAATTGAACTGAAATCAGCTTTGAGAAACGTTTCATGGAGAATAAGCTGTGCTTTTCTTAAGAAGAGAATTGAGGAATTTTCTTTTGCTTGGTTGTCCTGTTCATTTTTAAGGCATTTCAGTATTTTTAGTTTTGGTTTTGCTGAAAAATTTTTTTACTCAGTTCAGTAATTTCACTAATTTTCCAATATTTTGGGGCAGGAGACATTAGGTGGATTGTGGAATTTATGATTTCACGTGCTGGATTATCCAGTACTTTCTTGTCCTAAAAGCATGGGTCAGTTTACTTATCTTTCTGTTTTCACTGCTTCCAGGTATTAATTGCTTTCAGTTTGAAAGCTTGTTAGTTGTTTAGGTCTAATACTAAGGTTTAACTGAAAATTATCCATTTATTTCACAATTATTGAAACTAAGCCAGAAAATTGATCTTAGTTTGAAGTGAAATTTACTACATGTATAAACTAAATGCCTTAGGTACTGAGGAAGTCACTAATTTAGAGGTGTCTTGTTACTGAGACAAACTTGCAAAAACCCCCTGAATCCCAATTCACAAATTGGTTATTCGTTTGTCAGGGGATATTTCACATCTAGCACATAAGCCCACGACCTTTAATTAGAATTTTGCAGTTTGTTTTATGCCCCTTGAGGCTGACACCTTGAAAATTTTTTTCTTGATTTCTTATTGCTAATAAGCATCTTTCTCTTCCCCTCTGGTACTTAGAAGAAAATGATGCAAATACACTTAATTACAGTGGTGGCAATAATTTGTTAGCCGGATATGTGATCAGGCAGATACAAAAACGATCTGATTAGATCTGTGATCACACTGGAAAGAAAGGTAACACAGTGCTACATTTAAGAGAAACTGTTCTTTTTGCCTCCCCGCTGCAGGAGGGAAGAAGCATGTCCCGTCTGTCTCTGACGCGCTCCCCGGTTTCTCCTCTGGCTGCTCAAGGAATTCCTCTCCCAGCTCAACTCACCAAGTCCAACGCTCCCGTGCACATCGATGTAGGAGGACACATGTACACCAGCAGCCTGGCCACCCTGACCAAGTACCCAGACTCCAGGTGAGACCTCGGTGTTGGCACTGGCTGCTGCTCGCTGCGTGTACCTGTGAGGAATATTTCAGTGCAATACAATTTATTATATATTCACCGCTTATGAATAATTCAGTTCCTGATTTATACAGTAACTTCACTGGGGTTCTGCAGAAAAAAAGGCCTGTACAATTTATATATTATTTAGAGAGTCTATTAATTTTCTCTCGCAACATCTTCTGAGCTGTGCTGATATGTTTGAAGCACCTGTTGGTGTGCTGCCCTAAATTATCTCCAGCTGGATCAGGAAACTTGTTTCTATCAGGTTTGGGGGGAAAAACTGTTTTTTTTTCTTCCTCAAGGAGAGAGAATGCTTCTATACTACTGTGGGACTTGAGGATGCTTCTGTTGGCCAGCCAGAATCCTGCTGTGTGCCTCAGCAGTCAGTTCCTCTGGGCACTGCCTGGCTGACCCACTCTGGCTGCTGCAGGTACAGGCTGGATTAAATTCCTGTGTGTTTGAATGTGCTGCCTTGTGCTGGACAGGTTGGTGACATGGCTGGCAAGATTTACGTAGATCTGGCCAGAATTATCTCAGGATAGACTCCAGATATGCGTAATTAGGAGTAGATGTGGCATGAGATGATATTGGTGTGTGACATGGAGTCTGTGTTGCCTGCCTGGCTGCCAGTCCTGCAGGGTTCTGCAGGGCACTGCCCTCGGGGGTGACAGCCCAGCGTGGCAGCAGGGCCTTCAGAGGTGCCTGCTTCTGATTTACAGTTCTGGCCACTAAACCAGTGCAGCTTTTTGTCACTGGGTGCAGAGGGTGAGTTCCAGAGGGTGTGAGTGCAGGGCAGGTGTGCCTGTGCAGGGCCACGGTGCCCAGTTGGCTCCACAGCAAGGAAAAGCCCTATTTTTTTTGCCAGAGGTTTTGCTACTTGCATGGCCAGTATTCCATAAGATAGAGATTTTTTTTTTTCTTTTTTTTCGGTATGACAACCAGTGTAAAGAGCTAGTTTCATCTGAAGATTTTTATTTTAAAGGAACTAAGGGGTTTTGCAGATTTGGCAGGTTCCCAAGCAATAAATGACATTTATGGAGACACCTTGAAATGCCTCTAATATCATAAAGCATATGGTGTGATTTCATTCCAAGGAAACGGAGCTGCTGAAATTCTCTGTGGAAAAAAGCCCAATTATTAAAATACCTATATTTTATGGTCGGACCAAAATAGTATGAGTTTTTTGGACAGTGTCTGTTTAATAATTTCTTTGTGGTACTACTTTAATCATAGAGAAGAAATCTATTTAGTGAAGAAAAATTTATAATGGAGAAGCATACAAATGCTTCGTAGTATTAAAAATTACAGTGAAGATTCAGCAGTTGTAATAGAGTGACACATCTGTTTCCACCTTTTAAAATACTGCTGCTATTTTTAAGATATGCCCCACATCAAACTAACTTAATAAAAGCTTCAGTTATGGAAGAATATACATAATATACATTCTTTGAATATACATTCTTTGGGAGAATATACATAAATTCACAGACTTTATTTCAAGAGAATAGAGTACTGAGCCAAAATCTTCTTTTTTCTGCTTGATAAATAACAAAAGCATATTTCTTCCGATTTTGAAAGTACAAAACTGACCAGACCGTACATGCTGCCTGATGTTTTGCTGTGTACTGTCTTTTGTTTATATTGCTATGTTATCTTTTAAGGCTTGAATGCTTTTTCAGCTGCTCAAACTTCAGTTCCTGACTGAAGTGAGAGCTTCCAGAAACCTATAGATGACATTATTTTTGCAAAAGATAAACTTTCACCAGCAGTAGGATATATTTCCATATTTCCCAAGTAGGACATATTGCTCAATACATTATGAAACTGGGTGAAGACTGTATCTTATTTATTATATTTTTTAAAATATTGTTGTTTTTTGTGCAGTGCTGCGTAGTAGACTTAGTTGTAAGCCCATCCCTGAGTCCCTCATTGGCCTGCTTGCATTCCTGGTTGAGGCAAAATAGCTGCAGTTATTCCCATGAGGATGCTCAGAGCTCCTGGTGCTGCTTCCCTTCCCTGCTGTGGATTTTCCATGAGGCACAGACTGGCTTTGCAGTGCTGGGGCTGGGAGAGGATTCCCAGGTCTCTCACAGGGCAGGAGGAGAGAGACAGCTCTTCTGAGCAAAATATCTGGAAATAATCCCAGGGCACTGCTGGCTGCGCCAGGTGTGGCTGCATGCAGAGGCACGGCCACGCTGACCCACCTGCACAGCTGGCTGGCTTATTTTGGACAGCCTGTTAAATTCCTGGTGTGAGCATGACTTTAAAAGCTTCAGATCCAAGAAATCACACAAATTTGTAGATTGTATTTCAGCAAAAGATATAAGCATATGCTGAAACACTTTGCTAAATCTTAGCTGCAGTCGCATAAAATAGTTTGTGCTGACTGAAATTGAAAACTGTGAGAATAAACTTTCTTTTTATATGTTTTACAATTTCTACTGCTTTCTCTGTGCTCCCAGATCCCAAAGAGCTTCTAGCTTGTAGCTTTTTAGCATGTACTGTACTTGGATTTTTAAGGACACGTGGATTGTGAGCGTGTGTATAAATAGGTGTGCATGCACAGAAACATCACATGCTGATGGAAAAAATAAATCACCAAGTCGTGTTTGAACTTCCTCAGTATTTTGGGGAGGTCCTGAGCAAACTGAGTAGGTGTTGACTTCAGTGGGAGGGAGGAGTTCCCAGCAGCTGGCCAGGTCAGCCCCAGCAGCAGCGCTGTAGGTGTGAGCAGTTCCTGCCATGCTGTGCCGCAGGTGACACCTGGCAGCGGTGACAGCATGTCCTGTTGTGCTGTGACAGCAGTGCCTGGCTCTGCCCACCCACCTCAGGTGTGTGCTTGGCTCTGCTCTGGGGAGGAAAAGGACCATTTTGGGGAAATCTCACTCAGGTTACTGAATGGCTGGTGGTGTGAAGCCAGAAGCCAAATCTTGCATATCAGAGATCCCAGAGTTGTTTCAGAGCAACTTTGATCAAGTCTTTGATGTTGTTTGTATTAGTGCAGCTGCTGTGCTCAGAGCAGTTGTCCACTGATGAAATTTGCATAAGTAAAGGGTGCCGGATTAGGCATTAAAGGGCATAGATGTCCTCTTTCCCGTCAGTTTTTATGGCCCACATAAATTCTTTTACGAGGAGAAAACTTGAGCAGGCACAACTGGTGTGACAAAGGAGAAGAGGGTTAAACAGCCACTGTCAAAGGTGGTTTCTAAACCACTCAGACTCACCCACTACTCTTACACACCTTTCCAGTTGGATTTTTGAATTAAACCACACACAAGGAAAAAAAAAAAAAAGTTGTCCTTTCAGAGGGTGAAAGGCAAGGGAAATGAGAAACATAAAAAGAAACTGTGATCAACAACAGCGTAATGATGGTGGTCTCAGAAATGACCTCACAAATAATATTATTATTCGCACCTCCTGTACCTACTTGTGACCACTTTCCATGCATACCCAAAATTGTCATTAAAGTTGATAAACTTTGAAGGTACAAGGAGGTTGATGTTGTCTACCTGAATCTGAGGCTCAATTTCAGTAGTTTGTTTTCAGCAAATTCTCCTACTTAAACTCCCAATTCTTGTAGTTCTGAATTGCAGCTTTAAAAAAACCAAACAAACCAAAAAACTGTGGAAGTCTACTGACTCTTAAAATCAGCATATTTTTTCTATAATAATTGGCTAAGTAGAAAAAATTATTCATCTTTGTAGCATTTGCTCTGGAAATTTCATTCCTGTCTTCACCCAGAGGACCTCTAAAGCAGCCCCTTCACACATTGACACTTAAATGTGGATTTATATGACAGATTGTAAAGGCTGCAAAACCTCTAGCACGTCTGCAGAGTTGCAAATTGTATTTACCCAATGGAGTGAGAAAATTTTTACATTTAGAAAACAAACCTGCACCAGAAGTCCAAGCTCCTGATGTGCAGTCAGGAATACCCAAAGGCATTGCCAGATCCCCCAGTCTTATTCCCACTGAACTCTGGCAGACTTCAAGCAGAAAAGAAGTAGAACCTCCAAATCCCTGTAGACCACAGCAAGCCCCAGCTTCTTGATTTCACTGGAAATTTTGATACCACTTTGAATTTTTTTTAGAAAGCAGAAGAAGATTTTTTTTGTCAGAAGCCTGTCCTTTTCACAACAATCCTGAATAGTGTTTTTATCTCAGAGAATTGCTGTGAGCTCTCTCTGAGCTGTGCTGCTGTACGAGGTAAATATATTTACCTTCCATTCTTGGGTAGTTTGTGTATAACCCTCTGTTTAGGATACTTCCATGTGCTTTAAAGCTGATGCTTTGAGTGGCATTATTTATGACAAAGGGGAGCAGGAATGATTTCCATGGCAGTGCCACTGTCCAGGTGGAGCAGTGTGAGTGCAGAGCCCAGAGAGCCTCTCCTGGGGGTTTGGGAGCTCTGCTCCCAGCCTTTCTCCCTGGCAGGATGGAGCTGCTAAAGCCATAATGCACATTTTATATCCTTTTTAGTTTCGCCAATAAATTTATCATTCATTTATTTGTTTATTTTATGGGCCACATAATTTATTTAAATTTAAACTTTATTTAAATTTTCTTTAAATTGAACTTAGATGAGCAGATTTAAACATCAAGGATATACTTGTTTAAGTACATGTACACATATAGAGTGTATATTATATATATATTATCAAAATATGCTTAAGAAAACTTAAAGATAACATTAGTGACACTGAATAAAAAAATTGATCTTAATAAAAATGGAATAAAACATAAAAATAATAAGAATTAGACCAGACCCTGAATAAACTTAAGAACAATCAAACTTAACAGAAATTAATCCTAACAGAAAATTGCTCTTAATTAACTCAATGGAATAAGAAAACATAACATTACAATGAAAATAACAACATGATAAATTTAAATGGCCCAGGGCAGCTGAGGCAGTGCAGCACAGTGCCCCTCCTGATCCCAGCTCTTGGGCACTGGGCTCTACCACCCCA